AGGGATCGATTTTTCAGATCACTTTTTATTAGAAAAGATTAAATAAGTATAACGTATCTAATATACCTAATAAATAAGCTCTAGCAGATGTAATGATCATGCTTTGTATCTGTTTTACTGAAATTAAAAATTTGCGTATATTTAATAGAGGTGTAACTGGTACATGAAAAACAGAAGAACACAAAACATTTCTCAAGTATTTAGATCACTAGAAAAGAATGAGGAGTGGGCAAGGCAATTGCTTATATAGATTCAGGAAGCAATTTCTTCCAGAAAGTTAAGAAATCCTGAAAAGTCTAGATCTGTATACTTAAATGCATTTTTGAAAAAAAATGAATTTCTTCCTGAAAGTGATAAACCACTACTTCTAAGCTATTTGCGTAAATTAGGGCAGTATTTACAGTCATTTCGAATGGTATGAAGAACTATGACTATTATCAGTTAAGCCCTTCAACATTCATCAGACAACCATGTCTCTCCAGCGTAAAATTACATAATAGTAAATTATTAGTTAAGGAGAACCTTATGATCAGGAAGAGGCAATCAAGATCTTTGATGAAAATGGTTCCTAAGGAACCAAACTAATTATATATATGGATTAGAAGAGATCCTAGAGGGATCAGATTGGGAGGACTGATTTATCAGTCTGATACAGTTCGCATCACCTATATTCTACATAAATCTTACTTAATTTTGAAACTTTATAACTCTTAAAATTCAAGTGTTACAAAAAATATAAACTATAAATATGAAACTTTGAGATATAAAGAACAATTTTTGTGGCATATTTTTTTCTGAAAATAAACTCATCAATAATTATAAGAGTTTGAAAACAGGTTATATTATTATTAAATTCAGGTATTCAGAACTTCAATTTTGGCCAGAATTAGCTGAGATTTTATAATTCTGGACAAAATCAACGTAATCACGTGAAATATTGTAAACCGCTTTCATTATGATAATTAACGAGATATATGCATATCCGCAGATATTTATGTAACATTCATATAATTTGTAATTTTTCATACCATTTTCTCTTATTTTATTATACCATAAAGGAATTTTAATGTTTTGTAATTGGCTTTTTCATTAAAGCTTTTATTGCTTTTGGGCAATATTTTTTTTTGATGTTTACTCAGATTTCTTTGAAACCTTCTTTTCACATTATCAGTCAAAGAGTTTTTCTCATTAATATTTATCAAACATGTAATTATTATTTTACGCAGAGATGCCATAACCGAAAAGACTTTATAATAATACTACAACTAGAAAACTATTAGGAGGAAGTTGTAGTTTCCTAAAATAAATGGATCAAAAAGTTAAAACAAACAAAACAAAAATTGGTTTGAATAAAATGAACATAATTCTAAAAGTTGATGTACAATTATGTGATGAAAAGTTTTACCGGCAGTTTTTTTGTTTGATGAATTATATTATTTGAATAAATTTGTCTTTGGATTATATCTGGGTTCACTTGAATTTTTATTTGTATCCGTGACAAAGGTTACAGATAATCTATATATTTATGGATAAATAAATCCAGATCTAATTAGCATTTTTTTCTTTTTGAAAAAATGGGTCGTTCATCAAAAAAACGTCACATTGCTTTAACAAAATCTCATGCTACTGATGGCACTTTTATTGCTGAAACTCAGGATGAAACAAATTTTGAGAAAGAAACTGAAGGTGCTGAAGATTTAGAAGTTGAAGATTGGGTAATAATGATGATAGTGGATGGGAAGAGGATATCGATTTAAAGTTAGCAGAAACTAATTATAAAAGGCTTTTGAATTTAGAATTAGTATGGAAAAAAGTAAAGATCAACAAATTAAAGAACTAGAAGAAAAAATAAGAGAATTGGAAGAGGCATTAGAATTAGAGGAAAACATTTCTAAATGCCATTTAGATGCTTTTGAAGTAGCTAGAAAATGAAGAGTAAGGCAAAGCAAAGAAGAAGATGAAAACTTAGAAAAAGCTTCGAGAAAAATAGAGATGCTAGAAAATGTTGTGGCATGGCAGAATTATTTAACAAACAAGCAACTTCAAGAACTACCATCTTTACCAAAGAAACAAAAAAATTTAAACTCCTAACTAACAAAGTAAAAAGCAGAATTAAGCAAGCAAAAGCAATAACTCAAGAGAAGTTCGATACTTACATTTTACAAAAGGATAAATAATAAAGTTAGAGTATCAAGCTATTGAGTTAAGAAGAGGAGATAAATGACATTGCAATTTTTGCTCTTTTGAAAAAGAAAGAAGTTTAACTGCTACTTACAAAATATTATCTTGCAATACCAGCAACAATAATTATAGCGATATTACTTATATCTGTGTTGAATGCAAAAAAAATCTTGACAATGATGTTCTACCACATTGTAATGATTATGGTCGAGCTATAAGAAATAGAATAAATTGCTTCTGTGATTTAAGGAAAGATGAGCCACCAGTTAAAACTCCAACTATAACTGAAATAATGGTTCAGAGTTATGTAAGTAGATTAGAACAACAAAACAAGAATTTAAAACAGCAACTAACCAGTGTTAAGGAAGAAATCAGTTTTCACTTGATAGTCTTAGATGTTTCAAAGAATTGACATGATAAATAAAAGCAAGAATTATTGGATAAAATTCAAAGACTTGAAAGTGAGATTGAATTCTTAAGAAAACAGCAGAATCAACATGTTGCTCAAATTGAAGTTAAAGAAAATAAGAGATGAGCTTGATTAAAAGTAAAGAAGTAATTTAAATTTCATAAGTAATTCTTTCTTTATCTAGGTACTCCTGGAGAGTTTAGGTATCATTGATTTTAAAAACATATGGAGCAATTTTTTCTCCTTAGACTTTTTTTAGAATGCTTCTAATAGTGCTATAATTCTTGGGTTCTATAGTAGATTTAATGTAAATTAGTTTCATATTAATATTTTTTATATAGAGATAACCCTATATTAATCATGTTATGGTTTATATTCATCACATTC